ACGAGCCACTTGTAGCTCTGTCCCGTGCTCCACCCTAGCTGGGCAGCACCTGCCCCTGCACCAGCCCCTCTCCCTTGCTCACCATGGGGGCCTCGATCTGGCCTCCCCTCCCGCTTCCCCTCAACAGACTTTCCAGCCAGACGCTGCTCTCCGTGTTGCTGGGCTGCATATCAGCAATTGGATCAGTATTGGTCGGTATGGCTAGTCAACAATCGGCCATCAGTATTGGCCCAAAAAATCTGCGCACCTCTTAGTAGCAAATCAGTCTGGTTTTAAATATGCTAGTCAGTAGTAGGGTTTTAAATAGGGCTTTGAGTTAGCATAGATAAGGCAAGAGTTGCATAAATTTGGATTGTTTTGTTGTACAAAATCCTCTTTAAAAACGCACACACACACACACACACACACACAGATTTATATATATATATGTTGGTGAAAGGATCTGTAACATTTAATACAATATTTTCTTAGTCCATACGCACGCACACACGTGCACGACAGAAGTTGCACTACTTTGATTCTTAGGCCACACACACACACACACACACACACACACACACACACACAGAAGTTGCACTACTTTGAAATTAGTCTTCAGGAAAGTTTAGTTAGATCACTACCAATAAGGCTGAAATAAGCTCAGCTGAAGTTAGCCTGATTTAGAATAGTTGTTCTCAACCTGTGGTCCATGGACCCCTGGGGATCTGAAGACTATGTCTAAGGGGTCCATGAAAGGTGACTAAGATCAATCAAAAGTATGTAAATACCCACATTTACAATTCAAAGGGATCTACACCTCTATTTGAAATTTCAAAAGGGGTCTGCACCTCCTTTCAAAATTTTTGTAGGGGTCCACAAATGAAAAAAAGATTGAAACCACTAGTTTAAAAGCAAACATAAGAGTGTCCACACAGCCTTTTGTACCAGTTTAATTAAAATGAATTTTAAAAAGGGATTTAAACTGAATTGGTAAAACTTCTGTGTAGACAAGTCCCTGAACCTTTTTGTCACACAAAAGTTACCCTACTTCAGTTGTCAATTTTGTACAACTCCTTTAGTGCAAACATGCTTATAGCCTGTAAAAATGCCTCTACAGATACAAACTCACCAATGATTTCCATATTTACTGAAAGACTGGCATCCTTGTATCAAGGGACTGCTGCTGCCACCCTTTGCAGACAAACTGTTCTATATCTCTATCAGAAGCTATACTACTACAACTATGGGTATGTCTTTATGGCCAAACATTTTGTTTTTGTTTTTTTACCTAGACAGACAGCCACCCAAACCAGCATATTATTTATATTCACAAAGTAAACTCATAAATTGATGAGCCAAATGAAGGCATCACAATCATTAAACTGTGATGGTTCTGTCATGTCTCCTACAGAGAGTAAGCCCAACTACAGGAAACAAGACTGTAGCAGAAGCCAATCACACTGTTCCTTTAAATTATGTTGATAATCACACTCTCATGCAAATAGCCAAAAGAATTACCAAATTTATTTGGATAAATGCACTACCCTGTCATTAAGTTGGCAATTAAAATAATTTCTGGATTTATGTGAACTGAGTCACCAACATCTGCAGATTTCTTTACATCTTGTGTAATAGCTGGCTTCAGTTCTTGACGTGCCAAAGCAAAAAGAAGAATTTATGGCTCCCATGTCATTTTGGACTTAGCAAGACAAAGACACAACGGTTCCTCAAAACAGCTCATGAATCATATTATTCAGCTCATCACGTGGGACTTAAACTCTAGGGCGCAATGGAAAAAAGGTCATTGTTTATGGAAAGCAGGTAAAGATTAACCCCAATGCTCTACCCTGTGAGTTTAATGGGTCTCTGCAACGCTTGATAAATACTATATTGGCAAGTGTTCTCCTCTATTCTTCAGGTCAGGACAGGGCTATCGAACTTCTGGGCAGCTGGGGGCAACATGCCACTTGAGTGAGTGAGCGGGCTCCCTACCACCATGTGGGCTACCCAGATGTCCACATCTCCCTTACATCTGGACTTCTCTATAAAGTTTGTTTTAGTGCCCCATGAACTGGGCCATTTTGAAAGTTGAAGTGTAAGGGCATTGGGGAAAAAGAAGATGCATGTGAGAATTTGCCACTCAAAAAAAACAACACAGGAGTGGGAAAATGTGATTTGAGAACTGTACATGCACTGTACATATAAGGCAGCACTTGCTTTTGTGGACCAGCAAGAGCTGTACACCAGAAGCAGAATGTCAGTCCCATGATCTACTCTCATGTAACTGTCTTACACTTCCTTTGTCTATAAATGCAAAAGGTCACCAACTCTTTCAGCAGCAAGAGAAGATTTCATATTTAAGAAAAAAAGAAAAAAAAAGTAGACAGAAGAGACAGTAGAACTAGCATCCAAGATGCTCAGAAATGGATGACAAAAGTTCAGCTCCTAACTATAGCATTTAGGTAAGTAGCCTGATTTTCATGAGAACTGGATAACTATAACTCTCACTGTTGGGAATGGAGCACCCACTTTGAAAATTTCCTCCTCTTATTGGTTCTTGTTCATTTCTACCTTACTCCCCTGTAGAGGTTTCTCATCTCACCTCCTCCAAGGCCTATGCTGCTTTTCACCCCATTTCCCCCCCATACTCAAGCTGCTTGGTTCACTTCTCCACCTGGCGGTTTCATTTCCACAAGTGGCTCTGGTTCCTGAAGATAACTTGTTTTCCATGCTTCTCCTAAAGGGCAAGGACCCTCAGTGGAGGCAACTGGGAATGCTCTTCGAGGTACTTTTGCAGAAATACATGAAAGGAATACTAGCTTCTCCCTGTCACAAGAAAAGGTGAACAAGCGACAAATACAGTTTCCTTTCTTTTTTCTGAATCTTTACAATACCAATCCAAAAAAACAAAGAGTAAGGTAATTCTACTGTTTTAGCTAAAAGGGGTACTTTTAAAAAGCTCCCAGGTCACCTCTTTTATGCTTATTTATGGCACTGATGGTAACAAAGGTATTCCTTCGGTGTAGAAGAGGGAATCATTGGAGATGGCATAAACAGATGTACTGATAATAAATAGCTAGTGGTGCCCACTGTGTAAACCAAGAAAATACTCAATTTACCAACACCTCTCTCTCGCATACCATTTCCCTTTAGTCTCTTATTTTAAACGAATCTTAAGCAATTGTTGCAAGTATTTAAGCTGGTCACATGAGTGGTTAACTTGGTCCATATTCCATGCTCTTTCAATGGACTCATTTTTATCTCTCTCCCTGGCAGAAGACTGCAGCCCTTTATACGGCATACCTCTTTGATTCGTTTCACTAAAGCATTCTGATCAAAAGCAACAGCTTCTGCGCACTGGTGAAGGTGATCCTGGTACCGGAGGCACAGCTGTAGCACTTGCTGAGAGTCCAGTTTCTCCAGTTTGGTACTTGTAGGTGAGGTCTGCCCACTGAGAAGCCCTAGAAGAGATGGGAATAAACTGAATGAATTGGACTGCTAAACAATTGCTCCAAAGCCTGAGAAATACTTGAAGGGCAATCAATTTTAAATTCAAGACTCAAAACTTGACTGTCCTATAACAGTCCTACGAAGATTATAGGAAGGAGGAAAACAAATATCATGAGTGGTAGATGCACTGCATTAGCTATTCTAGATTTATAGAAATATAACATACCCGTCAACTTAAAAACAACAACAATTTCAAATGGAGAATTGTGAGTACATCCAGAAGGAAATGGAAACAATTCCCTGAGAACATCATGCTCATCTGAAACAAAGGAAAGTTCAGATTGAATACTTGCCAACACATGATTTAAAAATCATTTGACAAAAACTGGGAAAAGTCAAATCTATTTTGCCGATCATTGACTGCTACTCCATTCACAATGTCTTACAAAGTAGACAGTTGCCTAGGAAAGCTCATGCCTCTTTGAACCAGTTAGTCTCTAAGGTGCTATACTGCCCTCCCTTCAATCAGAAATGAAGATAAATTTACCAGAACAGAAAACTAACTAGTAAACTAGCTCTACCTAAACAACAGTATTCCCTTACCTTAAGATATACTGTATAAAAAAGATTTCTGACTTGCCAACCTGGTGTCACCACAATTATACTTCCTGGGCCGCTGAAATCAAAACAGGGTAGGCCAGGGACAGAGGAGAAGTAAAAACTTGTTATTAAAATCCAAGTTAACACAATGATAGTCAAAATCTCTAATATTCTGGACAGAACTGCATGGGCTTAAAACCTTGGCTTCAATTATATCAATGGCAAGTCTTCTATTGACTTTGAGAGAGTCACCCTTCACCATACTCTGGCAAAGCACATGCATAACTAAACCTGAAAATAGAATGAAGACTAGCCATGAAACAAAGTACTTTTTAGTGCTTTGCTGGACCTTTTAAACCCAGTCTTCTTGGGATGTTCTTATCATAGACCTGAACTTGTCTTGTTGGGGGTTCACAAAGGAACAAATCATTCTTCCCTATGGAATCAGGTCCTGGCAACAAACGGCTAAATAACTGATGCTATTGACTAATTAATTTTACATTAATTACTACTCTCACACAAGCAGATTAGAGGCTATAAGCTATCTAAGATATTGAAATTTAAAATTAGTTTTGGGTATTTGGGTGAATTTTCAAGCCATCTGTGAGAACTTGTGAAAACAGCCAGGAAAAGGGCTGCAATAAGTTAACATGTTCGTTTAAGGTCCTTAGGCTTATATTATGTATTTAAGAACCTGGGCTCTGGGTTCCATAATGTGAAAAGCAATAAAAAGAAAGTTAAAATATAATAAAAAGACCTCCAATTCACATCCATGAAATCACAGGCTGAAGGGAATTGAGAGGTTAATGGTTCAGATAGATTTTCTTTATAAAATTCACTGGTTGAAATATAATCTAGAAAAAATTTCTGAGGTAACAATAAAAAGAGCAGACTGTAAATCATTTTGAGGATGCTGTTTGTGATGATGTGGGAAGGGAAGTATTTTCTAGCCTTCTGCACTCAAGTTGGGAATGTGTACTATTATAAATAAATTTAACCCAGATCAATCTTCAGACTTTATAAATAAAATTCAGAGAGGTGAGCACAATGTTAAACAGGCAAAGCAGTGACCCATTAGACTATAACTTCAGAATTTCCATCATCAAGAAAGCAATTAGCTGGGTTGTTTTTTTAATCTTGCTAAGTACTGTGCTATAAACAGTAACATTTCATTCATTCACTGCACGTTCTTTTACAGCAAATCAGCAGCCATGCTTCAAGAAAGCAGGTGTTTATGCTAAGTCATCTTTCCACTACATAGAAGACAAATCAACACTAATCTCAGAAGGGGTATGCTAAGAGAGAACAGGGTTTCCAAGACCAACATATCCTAAATAAGACCGGTAATCTGAGTGCCCAATTTTTAGATGACTTAATTTTAGAGGAGAGAGAGGCTTAGGATTTTCTGAGCAATCAAACCCATTTTGAAATCTAAAAAAAAGTAGCTACTATTTAAATCTTTGGCCCAGCTTCTGAACTTCCCACTAAAACGGCCCTGCTTCTAGTACAGAATTTGGATTGAATAAGTTGCAAATGGAAAGCAAACACACGGATTGTATGTTGGCTCCTGAAGAAAGCTGATTGTAAAGCTCCTTTAACAAAATGGTTTCTCCCTATTTGACAATGCCAATTCACTGAAAATGAAGCTTTTTAAGAAGATATTGATTTTGCTTAAATGTTCCTAGGAAAGCTCTCTCAGAACCAAATGGGAAGGGAAGAGACGACATTCTCTGGTTTAGTGGTTCAGGCATTCACATGGGATGCAAGAGTCCAAGGGTAAAATGCCTGAACTGCATCAGCAGAGCAGACACTTGAAGCTAGGTCTTCCACATGTCAGGTGAAACAAGCCCTAACTATTTGGCTATTAGCTGTTCTGGGGTGCAGGAGTCAATATCTGCATTTAAAAAAAATAATAAAGAGCTCAGTTGTGTTTTGATGTGAAAGGAAAAGTTCCAAAACCTCATTTTTTTTTTTCTTCTAAACAGAATTCTTGTTTTCCAGGCAGCCAGCCCTATTCCTCAGTAGGGAAGCACCTGACGAGACAGATGAATACAGCTTGGGACCCGAAGAATATTTGACACTTGAGGTGCTGCAACTAGTTCTGAGATTCAGGAAAGGAGATATGTGGGGAGTATGTCATGGCTAGCTGGAAAGAACAGGGAAAATAGGTTACTGAGAACAGGGAAGCTGGGGGACTGCATGTACCCAAAATATTTTAGCAATGGCTAGTGGTACACATTTCTAGCATTTAAGCTGTACTGTAAAACAGACAAACCATGCTGGAAGCCTGCCATAATAGTAGGAAGAGCCCCTCTCATTCACTCTATGTCCAATCAAACAACGTACCACAGAGGTGATGATCAACTGCCACTAGGCAAACAGATAAAAGATTCATGCTTCAGCTTCTAAATAACACTTAAAAAAGGGGGGGAAAAAAAGAAACCACATGCATTATACTTTCAGAAACATCATATATACACATATACACACATACACATACATATATACACATATACACATACACATACATATATACACATATACACATACACATATACACATACACATACATATATACACATATACACATACACATACATATATACATATATACACATACACATATACACATACACATATACATATATACACATACACATATACACATACACACATACACATACATATATACACATATACACATACACACACATATATACATATACACACACATATATACACACACACACACACACATCATATATATATGATGTTTCTGAAAGTACGATGATATTTATTCATCTATCTACACAGCTAGCTGACCCATAGAATTGACAAAGCTTTCTTTGACTGTTTTTTTGTCAGGGAATATGAACAGATGCATGTTAAAACTATTTCCCTCCTTACTAGTCATCTTCTTGCTGGTTCCAGATTGATTTATATTTCTATCAAAATCACCTTCCACTTAGCAGGAAAACAAACTAGTTTAAAGCCATTTCTGTAACACCAAAATTGACAATAGAGGAATCTTGTCAAGAGACTCCTCCAGCTAACACCAGTACAACATTTGTGTGTGCATGACATATTTGCCAACTACATTCAGATTCAGCCAATTTTATACACAATCCTGAGGAGTCCTGGATCACTTTGTAGGCTGAGAAATAACATGAATTTATATTGCTTTGTTACATTTCACAATAAATCAAGCAGAAATAGCAGATAATTTGCAAAATGAATACATACTTCAATTACTGTCATTTAAATACATCTTCCTTTTATTGTATCACTTATTTTTTTACAGTATAAATATCAAAATGTTCAAAAGGTCTGAACCCAGTGGCGTATCATGCTGGTGTGGTTAAAGCATGCCAGTTTCTGCAGCCAGTGGCCCACAGGGGAGTAGTGTGGCCTGCATCTACTCGTCCTCTACTCAGTCAGAATGAATGAATACTCATTTCCAGCTGGGTCACCCAGGGACACAAAGGTCTATGATTTGTGTTATGCAGTAATTTAGTTTATAAAGGCCAGAGGAGACACATTATCATCTTGTCCAGGGCTGTCCAAGTGGCTGTTCTAGGGGCAGGGCAGGGCAAGGTTGGGTGGCATGGCCTGCAGGGCTAAGGAAGCCCATGGTATGGGGATTCAGAAGGACCGACGGCTGCCACATGATGTGGAAACGCTGCTGTGAACCCACAGAGGCTGCCTACCACATAGTGGGGAGCAAGGGCCCATATGGTGTGGTCTATGCAGCACATGACTCCCAGCCACTCAAACTGGACATCTAATCTATAAATGAGGCCATACTGTCAGTGCTCCATATAACCTCATCTCACTGAATATTGGCAAAGTTCCAGAATACCAGCAAAGTCAATGTAGTGCCAACATTTTAAAAACTGGTAAATGGGATGTCTTGTGTAATTATGGTCACATCATCTTAACATCAAACCTTGAAAAGGGTTGTGGTGAATTATCCATTATATTATCATTCATATGTTATGTAGAGTACCTGAGCCTTGTTATAGGGCCTAAGGCCCAAAAGAACCAATCTAATTGCCTGTCTCAGGCCTGAGGACTTCCTTGAACTAATTCCTGCTCAAACTGGAATCAGTTTTTTAGAAAAGCATCTGAAGTTCATTCTAAAATTCTCCAGTGATGGAGAATCCTCCCTAGTCCTTGGTAAGTTGTTTGCTTGGAGCGAATATTACACCAATGTTCACATTAGCACCTAGTCATTTCATTTACCCTTTTCACATATTGGCCCTATGTTAAACTTCTCCCAAGCTTCTTGAAGTTCCCTGATGTTCAAGAAGTTATTGAAAATTAAATTCAGAAATCTCCCCTGCCAGCTCTTGGATGGAAGTTATCCATATGTACTGATTTAGAAGTTTCTAAACTTAGTGGCTATGGCTAACATCTTCCTGAGTAACTAATGAAATGGTCAGGTTTTTTTATGACCATCCACTGATAATCATATTATGACTTTGTCCCTCACCCACAAAATAAAATTTAAAAAAGCAACCCATATTTGAAAAATTCTATGAGGATGTTGTAACATTGACAACTGCTAATAGTCAACCTAAATCTCCCTTGTAATTTAAGCCCGTTACTTCTTGTCTATACCACATATACAGAACAAATAAGCTTCATCTTTAGAACAATCTTTTTGTATTTGAAAAATATTCCCCAATCCCCCTCAGTTTTCCCCATCTCTAAACTACATAATCCAGGTTCTTCCAATCATATTTTCAAGACCGTTCATCATTTTTATTGCTCTCCACTGGATGTTTTCCAATTTGTCCATGTCTGTCTGGAAATGTGATATCCAAACCTAGGTAAACACTCCAGGTACAGTCCCACCAGTGCTAAGTAGAAATTAAAAATCACTTCCTAGAGCTTGCATATAATACTCCTATTAATGCATCCCAGAATGCTATTACACTTTCTTTTTTTTGGCAACAATATTACACAGTTGACTCGTATTCAACATGTGATCCACTGTAGCAGCCAGATCCTTTTCTGTAACCTGACCAATCACTCCTCATTTTTCACTTTTGCATGATTGTTCCACCTCAAGTGTAACACTCCACACTTGTCCTTACTGAATTCCATTCTGTTTATTCAAACTGTTTTTATTAAGAACATTGTGAATGGTAGTTCTGTCCTCTAAGGTGCCTGCACTCCCACCCAGTGTAGTAATACCTTTGATAAGGTATCATGCAATTGATCACACTACATTGCAGTAACAGCATACTCTCAAATGAGCAAGTCCAATATCACCATCACTACCACCCACTATTGCTGATACTGTCCCAGCTGCTTGCTCTACTGCATGAAGGTCTTAAAATCAGCAGATGTTTAGGATTGACACAAACACAAACGCTCTTCATCTGCTACACAGGTCATTCCTAGTAAGTATCCTTACGAACTGGATATTTTACTAGAAACAAATGTTTTAAAACAACGTTTTGTGGCATGTTCTTTTCTACTGCCAATTAAAGTTGGACTGGTGATATGAAGGAAACTTGCTGCACAAAGCTCAAGAGACAGAAAATTCAAAAGTTACTTAAATGATTGTTATGTTACCCTTTTGAAGTCCACTGTCTCAAGATTTATCAGGACTTGAAAGAAAAGCTGCATCTCACTGACCAGAAAAATTGCAGTAGTACCCACTGTTTGCTGTGGTGGAGATTTTTGGCAACTCTGCCTGGGATTGGCTTGGTGTTACCAAAAAACACAGGACTGTTTGGTCTTTAGAGAATTTAAATTATGGTAGTCTATGATCAGGACTTCTTTGCAAGCTTAGACACAGAATTACGGTACAGCTCAGTTCCCTTAATTAGTACCCATTAGACACAAAAGTAAGGTACAGTTACAATTCCCTTTATCATCATCACCCAGGTCAACAGAGAGACAAGAGACAGATTTACAGCTTGACTTCTTATTGTCACACCCCGGAAGCATAAAACACTTACATCTATCTAGCGCACAGAATGGCAGCAGGTCTTCTTTAATTTGCAGTGTCTTCCAATTTTCTCTCCCATCTATACCTCATATTTAAAGATGGAAAAAAAAACCAAGACCAGAGCAGCCTTTGTAGACCTTTCATCAGCCTATGACTCGGTCTGGATAAAAGATCTGATGCTGAAGCTTGCAAAGATTATACTGTGCCACCAAACACTACGCTTGATATAAAATGCTGAGCAGTAGGTGGCTATGTGTCCAGCTGAGCAATAGAATCAGCTCACCCTGGTTCCTCAGCAATGGAAGGCCACAAGGTTCAGTACTTGCACCAATGCTCTTGAATGTATATGCAAGTGAGATGCCACCAAAAAAATTGTGTAAATTTGTATATACAGGTGACCTTGGTTTGGCAGCGCAAGCAGCCACCTTCAATGACATCAAGTCCACCTTGAATGAGGACCTGAATACCATGGAGGAATATTTAAAAAAATGGATACTCAAGCCAAATCTCCACAAACAAGAATCACTGCATTCCATCTTGATAACAGGAATGCTAAGCATACTCTGAAGGTAATTTTCTGTGGCACCACTGTGCAGCATGACCCCACTCTCTCTTATCTTGGAGTGGGGCTGGACTGCACATTAACCTTCCATGATGGCCTGAAGAAAGTAGCTGCCAAGACAAAGATAGGGGTCAATTTGAAACAGAAATTGGCAAGCACAAGCTGGGGAGCATCAGCATTATGCACATTGGTACCGGCCCATGCATACTCTATAGCCAAGTACTGTGCACCGGGTATGGACCAAAAGTAGTCTACTTGTGAACTGAACTCTGCAATGCGGTGCATCACTGGAACCCATAAGTTGGCCCCAGTACCTTGGCTGCCTGTGCTGTTGCATGTCACACATTCATTTGTCACGAGGCACCAACTCTTCAGGAACTTGAGCAAATTAAAGAAAACAAACATCTTCCCATCTACCAGGACCTCAACAATGCTCTTCACCATCGCCTAAAGGGGCACAAGCCCTTCTGGATCCAGGTGCTTTAACCTTCAATGTGACTTCAATCCTGATGAAGCTTGGAAAAATCAAATGGAGTTCACAGGAAGTCCTGAATAAACATCTTGTGATAGATCCAACACAGGAGGTCCCTGGCTTTGCTTTCCTGCGACGCTTATGGGCAACTCTAAACTGTATCTGCACAGATCATAGGAGATGTGGATACTTGAGGCACAAATGGAAACTTAAACACTCTCCAGTGTGGGACTGGTCACCCAGAACAGACCACGGAACATAACAACTCAATGCCCGATCCACAAATATGAAGGAGGTATCACAGTGATACACTGTTGCTCCTGACGCAACTGTCTGGCTAAACCACCTAAATGTAAAATTATAGTTGCTGTTCTATATCTACATCAGCCATATGAAAGGAGAAGATGATAGATGGTTTGTTTTAATATTCTAATACACCTCATGTGATAGGTTTTACTCAAATTAGTTTCACTGAAACTTTTGGAACTGAACTGAAGCAGTTCTTTTATGGCCTTATGAAAGTTACAGCTAGAAAAAGGATGATTTCGCAGCTCCCTCCTTCACCATGGTGAAATGCTGCTGGTCATCATACTGTTTTCTTTTCAACTTAGTTTATGTTTTTCCATTGGCAAAGTTGCTTTGTTTCTACAACTTATCTAAGAAACTTTAAAAATACATCCAATACATTTGGTTACACCAACTACTACTACTATCTGTGACCTAAAGTTATGATATGATGCAGGTCTGTCTAATTCCCAAGTGGCCAAGGGCCACACAGGCCCCCCACCATGCTACCAGTACCCTGCTAGGGCCCATGGGCTGCATTGCCCTCCCCCCCCCCTCCCCCAAGAGCAGGAAGTAGAAGCCAGAAGAGAAAGGAGAAGCCTGGAGACCCCAGCTCCAGCAGCAGAGGGGGTGGGGGAAGCAGGAACAGGACAGTAGCCCACAGGTTGCAAATCAACTCCTCATGGACTGTGTGCAGCCCCTGGGCCGCAAGTTGCATAGCCCTACTATAATGTATTTGGATCATCTATATCAAGGCCTTCTTTTATAATGTCTTCTTTCAGGCCTTCTGCTGGATGTGTTAATTGCTTTCTTTCCTTTGCTGACAAGGCTAGTCGTTACATCTGCAAAGGTTTGCTCTGTGGTCACTCAGAAACAAGCTTCTGGAACTTCCTGCTTGAGCCACACTGCTGTGATTTAGCACAGGCTCCTTGAGATCATCCAAGACTGGCAAAAAGTGATTCTACATTTCTACCCTACTATATTCAGTGAACAAGAACATGCTGCCATTCAAGAGAATTTTAAGTAGTTACACATAATTCAGTTTTTCTCATCGAGAGATAATAGCATCAAGGTATGACAGCCATTACCTTTAATTAGGATCAGTGCTTTTCAAAAAGCAATTATACAAACCTGGTCTGGCCAATTAGTGATGGCCTTGACCAACACACCTTATTCTTCTTTCCCCGTGTTGATTATAGGTTGAACACTTCAATCTATGCAAGCTTATGCACATAGCATAAGCTTAAATGATGGTTAGTAAATCCATAGTCATCATGGTGTTTCATTTACTGACTACATCCACAGCCTATACTGCAAGTGAATGCAGTAGGGCAGGGTCCAGGGTGATTTGATTCATGCAGCAAGTGTCAGCAGCAGTAGGCTTTCCCCAAATCATGCTCAGAAGAGAAAAATTCATCCCTGGGTAGATGGCCATCATCTGCCCTTAAACGAAATATTTTCAAATGTTCTGCGGTTTGAATGAAATAGTGAAATGGCTGCAGACAAACCGAACAGCCATTGTGTGAGAAAACAGCATATTCCCTTACCGTGACAAGGAATGTAGGCTAGGACACTCTTAGTCCTCCCTATTTGAGACAGATGATCTTGAACTTCCACATGGACAGAAGGAAAACTCATTTTAATCTCATCTTCTAGGTTGCGACTGTTCTGGCAGTGGAGCCCCAGTACTCTTTGGGTCTTATCAATAGTCAGACATTGCAGTATCTGCATTGAACACAAGACCATGTTCCAGTGCAGTATGGGAGCATGTGGTGCTTCAGCACTTGTCTTATACCGCCACACCCACCCACCCGACACATATGACCAACTGGGCTTCATGCCCTGCATTTCAATGGCAGCTCCTGCTCGCCCTGTCTCTTTACCAACTGTGTGAGCCATATGACATGTGTCTACAAACTGGATCTAGCCCATGAACCGTAAGTTTGACACCCCTGGAACAGAAATCTTTATAGGTATCTCTCCCCCCAGTATACACCATGCATCTCTGGCACCTTCTCCAGAAACAAGATTTTAGGGACCACAGAAATGTTGTGTTCTTTAAAAACATAATTCTTCACAACAAGATAACACACACCCTAGATTTCCACTGTAGCACTTGCATTAAGATATCTGTAATTAGTTTTACAGACCAATTTCACTGGCAGTTACCTATACCACTTATCTTTCCCCCTGCCACCTACATGATGGTGTATGCTACAACTTCCCATTTAATCTTGTCTTTTTTTAGGCCCTGATTCTACAAAGTCTCATATATATGACTGACTTAAATTCTAATATAATCTTGTGTTTGCAGCTGGATAATGTATGAGCATGTGTTTTCAGATTCAGGGCCCTTACTTTTAACAATAGGACCCTCTATCACCCTAAGCAGGGGTTGGCATTCTACGGCCTCTGTAGCGATTGAATTGGGCCTCACCCACACTGCAGCCACACCACTGGGAGCAGCCGCAGTGGCGGCAGTGGCTGGGCCCTAGCTCCAGTCTATTTCAGACCCAAGCTGGGTCATTCTTGCCCACTGCTAGAAAACACTGCCAGCCATTGCCTCTAGGCGCTGTTGAGAATTACTGGATTTACTGGAATAGAAGATAACCCTGATTATAAAATGACCCTCTAATAATTAGATCCTATGTATGGAAAATGTATACATTTGTTACAATTTTCCAGGTATAGAATCTAATTATTGGAGGTTTGCCTTGAATTTGTCTCTCTCCTACTGCTAATAACAGGGAAAATAAATCTGCAAGAGTTAGGTAGCCCCTTTGCTCTCTGCTTCCCCCAACCTTTTCGCCTGGCAGCCCCTTCCCCTTGCTGTCAGACGCTGCTGTCCTGGAGCACGCAGAAGTGAGGAGTGAATTTGAAAATAATCATCTTGAAATTAAGTACGGCTATAGCAATTTCTATATAGTACCCATACACTTAGTTCATCCCTAATTGATCGATGTTACCTGTTTTTGGAAACTGCTGCAAATCCAGCTCTACTTCATGGAGGGTGGGGCCACACTAATCTTAGCGCCAGACTGAGAAAGGAGGCAACAGAGGGATTCTAGGTGAACTGTTTGGGGCCCTGTTTAGTGATATTTGCCAGATATTTAAGGCTGGTGAAGAAACAGGAATAATTGGAAATTGGAAATAAAGGTGCAGCTCAGTTGGGGTGCAAAGAGGAAGTAAAAAAAAAAAAAAAAAAAAAGAGTTGACGGTGAGGGGACTTGTGCTTCATGGGTACTACCATAAATCATATTCAGATGGGCTGCACTAACCTATCATTGTAATAGGTTCCCATCAGCATGTTTGCCCAATGTGGGCTACATGTTTTATAGTCATGATCAGGGTTGCTGCATTTAGTTAACTTCATAGCTGGTTTCCATTGCTGAGCACCTGCTGCCTTTGCCAGTAGTTTAATGATACACTCTGTATTTAGTGAGATTTCCTTGTGTGATAAGACGAGGGGCTTTTTCCCACATGCCAATTGGAGGGGAAAAAAAAAATCTCATCTTGTATTCAAGTAAATACAGCACTCTAAAAACTAAAAATATTTTAGTGATGCATTAATGTACAGAACTCAACTCCCACATTTAAGAACTAGAACATCACATTTGGATTGACTGAAATCCCTATCCTAATCCATTAGAGAAGAAAAATAAAACATGAAGAGAAAGCCTTATTGCTTCACAGGCTCTCACTTTGCCACTGTGAAGTCATCATATGTCTCAAGAATATGCAGTCTGTTGAATGAGCTGCACCATTGAAAAGTCACAAGCAGTTGCCAGGAATTTGGCTCAACCAATATGTTGCTTTTGAAGCAACAGGTGAGGAGGTGGGAGGGAACCCACATTCTCTAGGAGAGCACATGGCTGTGTTAAGCCAGCAACAAACAGCTGAGCTCCTGCCAAGTCCAGATTCATGTGGGTTCTCTACTTCTGGGGCACAAAGCAGTTTTTAAACGTGTTTTCTTCCATATATTTGCAGTACCTTACATTCCACTTCCTGCCACAGACCTGAAAAAAAATCCAGCACTGGAAAAAAAAAAAAAAAAAAGTTTGTGAGAACCCCACAGAAACACAGAGATATTCAATCGATACAAAGCCAAAAAGCTGCTTTTACCTGGTAGTCATAGATTCATAGACGTAATCAGAGCATCTTAAAAAAAAAGGTAAAAAATTCAATATAGACCTATCACTGTTATCTGCCTTACAGTAGCATGTAGAAGCTGCAGCCAAGATCATAGAATCATAGAAAATGAGGGTTGGAAGGGACCTGAGGAGGTCACATCTAGTCAAACCCCCTGCTCAAAACAGGACCATCCCAGCTAGATCGTTTCAGGCAGGTCTTTTTCAACCAGGTCTTAAAAACCACCAACGATAGACATCTCAGCACCTCTCTAGGTAATTTGTTCCAGTGCTTCACCACCCTCCTAGTGAGAAAGGTTTTCCTAACATACAACCTAAACTTCCCCTGATGCAAGATCAGATATCCATTTCTCTAAATAACATGCAAATAAATATACCAGGCTGGAGAAAAGAAGTAGCATTTATCCCCATTTTAATGATGGGGATCCAAGGCACAGACCAAACAAGTGACCAATCCAACCTCACAGACGATCAGCTCTAGCAGAAGCAGGAACAGAACTCAGAGTTCAAAATCTCAGGCCAAAGATTTCAATACAGGACTATCTCCCTTCTGTGTCAAGCCCTTAAAAATAAAATCAACTTGCTTGTTTTGTTATTAAGCTATCAGTAGATCCTTGAACACAATTATCTATCACAGACAAGAGAAGAGGGGAAGGGTATTTTATTTGTTTGTTTATTCAATTTATATGCTGCCATTCCCAACAAAGGCTCAGGACAGCTTAGAATAAGACAACAAAATAACTTAGAAACAGGAGAGCACTAATAAAACAAAAGCAAGCAAAAGGGAACTAGAGTAGATATATACACAGATGACTTGTACAAACAGCAGCTACTAGCAGAAGAAAATAAAATGGAGGGCATGCAATAATGCCAGATCTCACAAAATTATCGCAAGAGTTGCAATTTCTAAGTAAAATTAACTCCAACTCACAATAAAGTCCAATTCACAATTTTTTTGTTTTAATGTATTGGTGAACAGTCTAGCACAGGGTGCTCAACCCCAGCCCAACTCACAAATTAAGTCCGATGTATGATAGAACTCTTAAGTCTCAGGACTTTTAATTCTGGCGCGTCTCATGCCCAACCGGGCTGGAACCAGCTGCAAAGTCCCCGGGAGAGCGGGTGGGAGTGGAGCCCACGCAGGGCCCAGCCGCAAGGGGCTGCAAGGAGCCCCACCAGGTCAGTACTGAGCCCAGGGCTGTAACGGACAGGGGAGCTGCTCAGGGCACATGCGAAAGGACCCAGGAGGAAGGAGGGTTAGAACAGAGCATTCATGATTTACATACCAAATCTCTTGATTTTTAAGAGTTTGTCTCTCGATTTTTGACACGGTGGGGTTGGCAATACTGGGCATGTGAAGTCACTAGGGAGGATGGCTGCTTAAAGCCAGAGCACCAGGGGGAATCTGACACAATCCAAAGGCATAGTCTCTGCCTAACACCTTCCAGACTTCAGAAACATCTTCCCTTAAATGTTACAGGGGAGCTGCATGTAAGGAGACTGATATGGGAAGCTCTCTGCCAAACGAGCTCACCAAAAGAAGAAGATGCAAAGTAGTAGGCAGGCCCTGAGGAATCAGATGGGAGCTGAGGCTGGAAATAAAGCAAGACAAAAAAAGCAGAAAACCAAACAAAACCACTTCTATCATCACAGACAACAGGGTGAGTTTGTATCAGAATTCAGATCTCTTAGATCCTTCATAGAACTACAGCTTGATAAAATTGTCAGAGATGGCAGAATTTAGAAGCAGAGTTAAAGATACTGAGAAAAATGTGGATAAAATTTTTTAAAGCTAATAAAGAACTCCAAAATTCATCTAAAGAAAAGGAAAAGGGAAAAGAAAGGAGCTCTCAGAAAAAAACAAGATGTGGAAAACCACGCTCATAGGAAAAATATCAGAATCAAGGAGCTCCCTAATGGAGTGGAGAAAGGAGATCTTACTATCTCCTTAAAAAAAGCACTCCAAATCTTTTTAGAACTGGAGACAAACACACTAATATCCATATACAGAGCAAACAGATCTCACAATGCTTCTCCCAAGGATGCAGATAGATGTAGAGATTTAATTCTCTGAATGTATTACTTCAAACAAAAAGAACAGATGAAAAGAAGGTCTGGAGAGCTTTCTACAGTTAAGTTGGGTGGATTTAAAGTATGGCTTTTCCAAGATATATCATAAATTATATACTCTAAAGAGCAGACAAAAACTGAAAGAGATTACAACCCATTCCAAAGAATCAAAAATAAAACACAGATGAGGTTATCCCTTTAAGCTCCTATTTGGTCAGGAAGGACAACGATACACCTTTAAAGATAAGACTGAACCAGTCAATCTTCTCTGCAGATTAAAACTAGGAGACAGCACCAAAGCACAAGCAGCTTCAGACAGATGCTGAAACACAAAACAGAAACAAAACAGAGCAGCAAATAGTCAACAAAAGAAGAAAAAAAAAAAGACTTTGAAGACAGAAAGACAATAAATCTAAATGGGGAGTTTTAAAGCTACTGATTTACAAGAAGACCTGTGTGAAAATTAATAAGAAGAATTTATTTTCTAAATGCAAGTAAATCCTGGTTACATTGGAACACGACCTGAAGTAATTTGGGAGGAGAAACACGCATGAGGTTTGAAATGTTAAAGGGAGCACCTAATTAAAAAGACCAGGGAAGGGAGAGAAGGGGAGACATAAATGCAGTTTGAAATGGCGTGTTCTCTGGAGTAGTGACTGGCTGTCATGTAGCTTCCTTTCTCTGCTGGAGCTAATCGTTTAAGTCCATAAAATAACATCATGATTTCACCCAAAACGGCAAATGGGACTTCCAAGGCGTTTAATCACATTGGAAAAGTCAGTTCGGTTACTGACTTGACTGGGAGCAACAGTGAATTTTCACACTTTAGGGATGGAGGGGAGGAAGGGCACCTGAGCAGGGACTGTTTGGGGACATGGGGAGAAGGGAGGAAGAGGCTGGGAGAAAATAAAGCTCTGGTAATATTTTGGTGGTTAAAGTTAAAGGTGTTGTTTGTCTTTATGCAATGGGATGGCTGGGGAATGCTGGGAAGGGGGAGTTAAAAACAAAAAATGCCTTAAAACCAAAAAAAAAAAAACTCTCTCAGAAAAAGAACTTAATCTTACAAACAGAATTTAAACACAGATACAGTGGCAACTAATCAAGTAAAAGCTACAGAGACAGCAGGTAGCAGTCCACTATTCTTGTGATGTTGAATAAACTCAACCATTACACTACAAAAAGTGTCTTTCGCAATAATATTAAATGGAGGAAGGCAGGACTGGGGTGAATGGGTTGGGAGTGAGGGGCAGCAGCAGGGCTGGGGGACCTGTGACTTGCCAGTAAAGGGGCAACAGAATGGGCAGGGACAGGGGCAGGGCCATGTAAACACTTCTTTGAAATCCCTCATTCATGACGGGCAATTGGCTAGTAAATACATAAAGGGCAAGTGACTCCACTCTGCCAATTTACCCTCCACGAAAATTGAACAAGAAGAGTTGCAGTTATCATAGCAAAGCACATATCTTTTCAGCTAAAGGAAAAATGTATGGATAGCAAATGTATGCTTGTTAAGGGAACTATTGGTGGTAGAATGTTAGCTTTAAGGAACATCTATGTAGCTAATAAAGACCAAATGTCTACCTTTATCATTATTCAACAGCACACAAACTATATACATGCATATATATGATCCTGATTTCCTAATAAGTACTTAAAATACTATACCAGCACAACAAGGTGGAATTGTTTGGTCAGAACACAGACCAGTAGTTATTTATCTGAGACACTGGGAGAATAAACCCAAAACGAAAACTTGGCAATTGACTATCCCATTTTTGTATAACTAAGATAGAGTCCAAACTATTAAAGAGGAAATCAAGGTGTATTTCACCGAGAATAAGATAAATCAAATTTAAAAGAATCTTTTATGGGATGTTCTCAAGGGCGTCATCAGAAGGCATTCTAATAAGTAAAGAAAGACTAGAATAGAGGAAGTGCAAAATCTGACTAGGGAAGTAGAAAGGCCTTTAAAAAAAAAAAATACACCAGATTAATTGTTATACACATTCTACACACAAGTTAGGTTTGTTACAAACTGAAAGCAAGCGGAAAGCAGTTAGATATACAAAACAGCTATATTATGAAAACAGAAACAAAAGTGTTAGACCAGTGGTGCTTAATCTTTTTGCAGCTTTGGCCAGACAAGTGGCATAGCTTCCTGCAAGCTGAGATCGAGGGTCCTGCACCACCTCTGCCCAGCCCCAGTGTGCAGGGCCCCAGGCCAAGAGGATGCCCAAGAACCTGTGAAGAACCTGCAGGCCAGATGACATGGCACTGGCTACCTTATGTAGGGGGTAGGGAAGGCTGGAGGAGGGGGGACGGGACCATGGGGGGGACCCCAGCTGGTCCGCCCACTCCCCCAGCCCCCTGAACGCTGCCCAGCCACCGCCTGCCCAACGAGCCCCCACCCATCATTGCCCCACCCAGGCCCTTCCCCCACTCACTCCTCCAGCCCCCTGATCACTGCTCTCCCACTGCTGCCGCCCCCCCCACCCCTGCCGATTGCTACCCTGCCCAGCCCCAGCGTCCCGGCACTTTAAAAATAAATAAATAAAAAAGGCCCCATGCTCACTGGCTGCTGCAGCAGATGTTGGGGAATCTGGGGGCTTGTGGCAGAGCCCCCCATGCAGCACAGGTCAGTGGGAGGCAGCAGGGATCACACCCCCCCCACCCACCC